TGGAGCAAGGTTCATTCACACGCTGGCGGTCCCCTGATGGGCAGTGCGACCGTGAAAATGCACCGTGGCTGGGCATACACTTGTGGACAAAGATTTCTGAGATATATTAGGTAAATCAGTTGTGAATGCTACATAAAATTGATTCTCATTTGTATGAGAAAAGATACTTGACCATGCATGAACATTTTCTGGAAGGGTACTTAAGAGTGGCACACACACACACACACACACACATAATGACTAGTTTTAAAGTCGTGGGAGGTGATAAAAGTATAGTCCAAGGTGATCATTTATTTTGCTAGTTATTAAACCATGCCTTTGAAGCCCCTGAGGAAATACGAGATGCAGAGCACAGGAAGAAAGCGGAATGAAGAAATAATGGTCTCAGACCTTTGTGAGTTCTGCTTTATTTTCCTCCTCCTCCAAAGCTGGGCTCTCTAAAATTGGTAACTTCACCAGGCCAGTATCCACTTACAGGCAGCCTTGACTTTTTCTAAGTTATTCCACAGTCCTTATTCTACACCGCCCATTGCGGGTTTCCCTGGGTCACCCCGGAGACCCCAAAAGCACTCTGAGGATGAACATACCTTTCCACTGCAGCCTCAGAGGAGGAAACGCCAGGTCTCTCTGAGTTCCCAAAGAGCCAAAATGGCGCCAAAGGTATCCGGTTCTCTGGATTAGAGAGCACCCGGACGAATGAGAACCGCAGGAGGCCCAGTCAGCCCTGGAAGGCCAGGCAGCAACCTCTTGAGGAACAGACACAAGCCTGTGGAAGCATCTTTACCAAGATCCATCATTTGGGACAAGTCACCACAGTTTAGGGGCAGACAACCCTGTGGCCCTGTGGCCAGACACCAGGCGGGACCCTAGAGCTGGAAACGCCCACCCGGGAAGGTCACACAGCCATTCCACTCAGCCGGTACAGCTGAAGGCACCACACCTCCAGGTGACAGGGCCAAGCAATTGGTGTCTGGGCAGGACCTTCCTAGGACAGGAGGATGCCTTGGGTGCTGGGACCGCTGCAAAGCACCTCCCCTTTCTCCCTGCCTCTGCAGTCCGTGCTCCAGTGCTGCTGACCAGGAGCGAGCAGGTGGCCCCAGCTACCAAGACTGAGGCCTTCCCTTCTCTGCTGGCTCTGACCCAGCCTCCTCTTCTGGGAAGCTCTCTCCCCAGGCTCCCTAAGATTGCAGAGGCCTACACTCACGCATGCCCATTACCACCCCAGCAGCAGCTCCCACGTAGTATCCCTTGGAGAGAAGGCCATGTCCGATGCCTCACTGCCCGGCACAGAAAGCCCTCTGTGGGTCTGCTGGGTGGAGCAGCTCTGGCCTTACAGAGAAGGGAGGCTGCTGCCCATGGCCAGGGCCTCGGGGGCAAGATGGGGCCGAGCACCTGGAAGACCTGTACTTGCATAAGGCTGAGCACCACATTCTTCCAAATCCAGGTGTGGAAGCATGAGCGAGCACTCCCCTGCCTCGTCCAAACGCCTGTTGACCTATGACAGAGCCCTGCTAGTTTGGGCAATCTTCAGGAAACTGCTCCTTTCCGGGCTTGCCCCTGGTGTGGTTTTGCTCAGCAGGAGTCGGACATTCAGCCAGACATTCAGAAGTCGGGGCTGGTAGACACCAAGCCTATTTTAATAGGTACGGGTTCTGGGGGGCAGGTTTCCAGAGTCTGAATCCAGACCTTCCAGATCCTCAAAAGGAACTCTCCTTTCTCGGAGTCTCACATGTCGGGCACAAAAATGGCTTCCTCAGAGCTGTTCTGGTGACTGAATGAGTTTTTTAACTGTTAAGTACCCGGAGCACTTCCTGTGTTCCAAGACCCATTAATGTTTCGTCATTCATGCGGGGAAACGGAGCACAGGCTTCCCACGCACCAGCACAGATGGTTTTCCTGCTCAGCTCCCAGCCCTGCCCTTTGGGTAGTGGGAACGCCCGGAGACTGGTGAGCTGGGCAGTGGCAGGCGAGGCTGGCTGGAGGTGTGACGAGAATGGGCAGGAGGGGGTCAGAGACCTGGCGAGCCTGGGCCACAGAAGCGGAGGATGTTGAGAAGGGGCTGGTCCAGAGTGCCGGGAGCCGCAGAGGCCAGTGGAGTCTGGTGCCTGGGCTCGCAGCCTTCAGTCAAGGAAAGGAGCGGTGGGGAGGGGAAGGAAAGGAAGGAAGGCGAGGGGGCCAAGGCAAGCTTTCTGAGATGGGGAAACATGTAAGAAATGGTGTGCGAGGGAGATGAGGTGGGAAAAAAAATAACGCAGCGAAGTCCTGCAACGGTGTGAGCAGGAGGGGGCACAGGAAGGACAAGGAAAGACCCGGAAACCTTAAAGTGGGAGTATATGGGGGTTAAGAGGGGGAGTGCAGAGGTCACACCGGCCTCTACGCAGCGTGGCAGGGCAGGGAGTGAGTAGGCTGTGCGGGCAATGACCAGGAGGCTGCGCTGTGGCTTCGTACAAGTCGTTTCCAGTTCACTGGAGACCGCCACGCATGCACCACTTCCCCTGGTTTCCTTTCTCTTCTCTCATCCAGCTACCCCGAGGCCAAGGAGATGGCTGAAATGGCCAAAGAGTTTTGTAAGCTAGTCAAAAACCAAACTGAACTTTGAAAAGTCATGGCCAGACTTCCCCCTGAACTGGGCTGTGACCTGTAGAGACTCACAAGGGGTCCAGCCGCCAGGTCGACCTGGATAGATGGGGTGGCAGGCGCCATCGCTCCTAGGTGTCCACGCGCCGGCATCGAGGGTCTGGCGTCACCGTCTCCCCCAGGGCAGGATGGGTCAGAGGTACGTGGCCAGGTGGGCAATGCTGCTCACCCTTCACAGACGGGCCAGCGGGTCCAGGACAGCAGTGCCCAGATTCCGACCCAGCGTCCCCAAGTGCGTTTGCCTGGATCGTGCTGCCGGGGGGGGGGGGCTGCACAGAGAGAGCCTAATGCTTTTTCTCCTGGCTCTACAGAGTCAAAGCTCTGCCTCTCACTGTAAGCAAGCCACAGGCCAGCTCATTCCGGTTATAACCTCCACACAAAGGATGACTGAAAGCGACACACAGAATCTAAAAAATCACAGGGTGCCTGGGTGGCTCAGTCAGTTCAGTGTCTGACTCTTGATTTTGGCTCAGGTCGTGATCGGTTTGTAAGATCGAGCCCCACGTGGGCTCAGCGCAGAGCGTGGAACCCACTTGGGATTCTCTCTCTCTCCCTGCCCCTCCCCCACTTGTGCTCGCTCACACTCTCAAGGTACATAAACCTTAGAAAAAAATCTAAAAAAAATCACTTGACGGAAGTTATTTCAGACGGTGCCAACCATAAACTGGCTTTACCGTCCACCATCCTGTCGTGCCCAGCCACACCCAATCCCCCTGGTTCCCTCAGCAGCCGAGCTTACCACAGAGGTACTTAATGCCATCATGATGTCACCCAAAACACAAACAGCCAAGACAACAGCATTAATACAAAGATATATTCCAAAAAGAGTTTGGCGGTCAAAGAAAAGCATTACACTTCCTGAAAACACAAGCATCCTTCTTCCTCTAGTCTACAGAGAAAACTGTAAAAAAAAAAAAA